GAGGATATGGAGCAACAGGAACTCTCATTAATTGCTGGTGGGAATGAAAAATGAAACAGTCACTTTGAAAGACTGTTTGATGGTTTCTTTTTATTTGATTTGATTTTGAATTTTTTAGAGACAGGGTCTTGCTATGTTGTCCAAGCTGGTCTTGAACTCCTGACCTCAAGTGATCCTCCTGCCTTTGCCTCCTGAGTAGCTGGGATTACAGGTACAAGCCTCTGCACCTGGCTTTTATTTATTTTCAGTCTGCTGCAAAACAAAACATACCCTTAACATATGATCCAGCAATCCCACTCTTTAGTGTATAGTGAAAGGAGCACACAAAAATCTACACATAGATGTTTATAGAAGCTTTCCTCATAATTGCCAAAACTTGCAAGCAACCAAAATGTCCTTCCATTGATGAATAGATAACTAAACTGTGGTACTTCCAGACAATGGAACATGATTCAGCAGTAAAAAGAAATGAGTGACTAGGCCAGAAAAAGATATGAGGGAATTTTAAATGCATATTACTAAGTGAAAGAAACGAATCTGAAAAAGCTACTTACTGTCTTAGTCCGTTTTATGCTGCTATAACAGAATACCACAGACTGGGTAATTTACAATGAACACAAATGTATTGGCTCACAGTTCTGGAGGTTGAGAAGTCTAACATCATGGTGCTGGCATTTTTCAAGGGTCTTCTTGCTGCATCACCCCATGGGAGAAGGGCAAAGAGAGGGTGAGAGGCAGAGCAAAAGATAGATCTTGTAGCCCTTTATAGTCAGCATTAATCCATTAATGAGGGTGCGGCCCTCATGACCTAAACACTTCCCATGAGACCCCATCTTTTAACATTGTTGCATTGGAGATTAAGTTTCCAACACATGTGTTTTGGGGGACCCATTCAAACCGTAGTGGCTACATACTGTAAGATTCCAAATACATGACATCCTGGAAAAGGCAAAACTGTGAAGATAGTAAAAAGATCAGTGGTTGCCAGGAGTTAAGGGGGAGAGAGGAATAAACAGATGGAGCACAGGGGCCTTTTTTTTTTTTTTTTTGAGACGGAGTTTAACCCTGTTGTCCAGGCTGGAGTGCAGTGGTGTAATCTTGGCTCAATACAGCCTCCACCTTCCAGGTTCAAGCAATTCTCACAGACTCAGCCTCCCGAGTAGCTAGGATTACAGGCGCCTGCCATCACGCCTGGCTAGTTTTGTACTTTTAGTAGAGACAGGGTTTCGCCACGTTGACCAGACTGGTCTCAAACTCCTGACCTTAGGTGATCCACCTGCCTCGGCCTCCCAAAGTGCTGGGGTTACAGGTGTGAGCCACCGCGCCCAGCCCGCCCAGGGGACTTTTAAGGCGGTGAGAATACTCTATGTGGTGCTCTAATGGAGGAACCATGACATTACACTGTAGGGGCAGCAAAGTTCTACCTCCATTCTCTTAGGGTCCTGGCTGGGCCTGAGAAATAAATTGAAATAAGACAGATTAACAGGAGAAAAGCATACAAACTTATTTAATACAAGTTTTATGTGGCATGGGATCCCTTTTAAGGAGATGAAGACCTAAAGAAAAAGTTAAGAGTCAAACACTTATATACTGAATGGGACAAAGAGTAGTAAGCTGTGAGAAATCAACCACATTATGTGGGGAGACTTTACAAATGTGTGTGTTATTCTAACAAAGCCTATGCGGCATTCTCTCAACTTCTCATCCTGTGTCCCGGTGTATAACATAGGTTCATCGGTTGTGACAATCGTACCACTCTAATGGGGGCGTTGATAGTGGAGGAGGCTCTGTGTGTCTGTGTGTGTATGTGTGTCTGTGTGTGTGTGTATGTGTGTGTGTATGTGTGTCTGTGTGTGTGTGTATGTGTGTGTGTATGTGTGTCTGTGTGTGTGTGTATGTGTGTCTGTGTGTGTGTGTATGTGTGTGTGTATGTGTGTGTGTATGTGTGTGTGTGTGTGTATGGAGGGGCAGGGGGTATATAGGAAATCCCTGTACCTTTTGCTGAATACAGCTTGAACCTAATGCTGCTCTAAAAAATAAAACCTTTTTTAAGGCTTACTTTTCCCTGTTGAAAATAAGGGACGAGGCTTCCCTTTCCTCCCTTTTCTTGCAGAATTTCCTTCTCTGTCATTTTCAAATGTGTGTAAAT